AACATGATTTAACAACTGTGGTTTGGTTTGGTTTATTTAATTACGGCAAAGCACACTAGGGCTATTTGCCTAACGGGAGGGATGCCTTTCGTGGAGGACTTTCTAAGGGAAACTGGCTCATATACACGTTATACATGGGGAAAACCACGAAAACACCCATGCAGGCAGCCCGTTCGTGGGATTCGAACCTCGGACCGAACTACCAGTGTTTCAGCGACTTTACCGCTCGGCCGTTGGTGAGCCCTTAACAACTGTGGGATAAAATTAAATATTACAAAGCAAAATATATTGGAAATAATATTTACAAATTAAATTGAAAGAAAATAAGAGTGAATGATACAAAAATTATGTAGAAAATTAAATTAGATTGTAAAAAAAGATGCACATTGAAAAAATATGGGTAAAAACTATATTTAAAAATATAATTAATAACCATTTGCAAATATATTTCTATTAACAGTCTCTAATGATATCTCTCAGCTAAATCAAATCTCTCTCTATATCTTCATTCCCTCCTGTTATCAAATGCACACAGTGCTGGGGATATACACTGCTTCTTGGTCTTAACTCCTTTACACACTATACTCAAATAAAACTGGAAAATCAATATTATTATTTTAAACCAATAGAGTTTTAAGTTTCCACACACAGACAGCCAAGATACTGGGTCAATCTCGCACGCCCTTTGGCAGGTTCAGTGCCAACCTTTTTCACATGATTGCGCATATCTTTAATCTCTTCATGACAGGTGTATCATATGTGCATAAGCAGTTAATTCTCTTACACGATGGCATGCTGCTTAGTGCAACTCACCTTGGAGATGGTGTGTTGTTGCAATAGTACAATCTCGCAAGATGGGGTATTTCATGTCGCTAAAAGCCTAACTTTAAGAAAAATTCATTAAACATATTCTTTTGATCAATTGTCTTGTTTTTTTCTGTAATGGTATATGACAGTAATGTAATCATATATACAGAATATTAAGAAATTCTGAAAAAATATAATTAACATCTAAATGCAAAATAAAATATTTGACTCATCTTGATGAAATGTTCTAAAACACTTACTTAAATCTATCTACATATCTAAACATATATAAAAAATAATAAAATACATGATTAATATATTATAGCACAAATGATTCAAAAAGGAGATAGTGTTTGATAATCTAGTCATTTTCATTAGTTATGAAACACAATTTCGGGTTGAAGTTTTTAATTCCTTCCCAGCAGAATAACTAATCCTAGGAATCTCCTCATTTTAGGCAAATAAATCTACATGAGTATGTTGATTTGTATGAAGATGGATTTTCACTCATCTTTTTGTTCGTAGATATTATTAGTTTCTTGAACTATTACGCTCATTACATTATTTGAAAAAAATCAATTTCATTTACATAACTTTGAATTAAGTTTACTTCCACAATTCCTGTAAATTCATAAGGCTTCAATTACTTAAAAGATCGAGTTTGTGATGGAGTAGCCACTGTTCTGCTGGATTAAGAGGTGAAAGCAAAACAAACTTCCAATTTAGTCTCTGAGAAAATTTCAGTATCTAAATCACTATTCTCATTTAAATCTAGAATCTTCAGTGTCAAAATATTCACTCATGGGCCTGAATGAACACTTGACGAGCTTTAAGCCATTCATGATGAATATCAAAATTGGCAAGTGTGTGGTTGCTACAAATGGGGAGGGGATTTATATTCTTCAAATGAATTTATAACATTCTTTTTTAATGGCTGGGCGCTTTATTTCATAGCTATTAGCACAGTGCCACTACATGGGCTGGAAAGGGTGGCCATTTCATTATGGAAGCACCTAATATGTGGCCACCATTGCCTCCTGTGAAGGGATGTCAGTTACAACCATGTCGTCTCTGGGATTTGAACCCGGGCCCATCACTACAGCAGTCAGGGTCACTAATCAGTATACAGGCTGTGTGGCGAGATTCTTCAGTAAAATTTACTAGGCTTATCTTTGTTTTTCATCTTTATTCAGGATCTAACTCAGATTTAGTAATTTAGACCACAAATTTTGTCTGTGTAACCAAAAAGTAACTGCAGTTCTCATATTTCACAAAATTAAGAGATATGCTTTCACATAAATGACTGCATATTTTACATAAATTGCATATGCTCCTCTAATTATTTTTTTTCTTTTACATAATTCTAAATGAAGCATTTAGTCACTACTTTGAAACTTTGAATTATGAATTAGCATCCAAAATTCACATTTTACAGAAAATTACTTCCTAAAAATTAAAAGCTTTCTAAACATATACAAAAATTAAAACAATCTGTTTTCAAAATAGAAATATTTATGCATAAGTACACAATGCTAATTAAAAGGCAAATTATTTCGCATAAAACTGTTGACACAGACATCTGAAACTTTTTATTTACACTCTGAAATATTACACACAGTTCAGGAAAAAGAATACAGATATATGGTTGCCCACCAAAGTCCTTAGGTAGCTTTTCTTTTCACAGCCATTAGTTGCAGACAAGTACTTCCAAATATAAAAAATTTTTAAATGACATAAATAATAACGTTATGTAATTTTTAAAGTTAAAAATTCAATTTTGTAATTTTGAAAAATTAACTTTATTATTTACTGAGCTATACAGCTACACTTCATAAACTGGTCTTTTCTGGCAAAAATATGCCCTCAAACTACTCAGTCATATCTACAGAAAAGGCCCTAAATAGTGTCAAAAATTCCAGAGCGAGCCTAATAATTCTGCATTTGCAAATGCTAAAGAAACACACAAATATAAACTTTCCATAATAATAATAACTTGTGCATTTAAAGGGATAAAGATAATTTTCATCAGCTATCACCTCTATTAAATAATGAAGAGTCTATGGATGTATATATGTACGTATGTTCCTCGCCCTCCAGAAAAAGGTGGCACAACAACCAAATTTTCAATACACATAACACTACACCCCAACATGTGCACTTTGTGAAGCCTGAATTTTGAATTTCCATTTTATTTCTTTCATATTTTGAGCAAATGTAACTATATTATTGGATTAAAAAACTGAGTAATTTAAAAGCATTGCATTGTCAATCGGTGAAGTGCAAGATATTCGTGTTTCAAATTTAATAACAGAATTCAGAGATTTAATAGAAATATGCTGCCACTCCCCAGAAAAAAATATTTTCATCTTCTTTGTTCTGCTGCATTGCCATTCCATAAAGGCCTAAGCTATTTAATTTTTCTTTCAAATTTATTTAGTTTGCTATTAGCAAACAGTTTTTTTAAAAGCAATATAAGAAGGTTTTCATTTATATACATTATTAGCTAGATCTGTCAAATTATACTAGCTGAACCTCATTAAAATCATTATACAGTCAAATACCGAAAATCCACCGACCTGAAATCCGCATTGCCTCTCAGAATATAAACATTCAGTTTATAGGTTCCGGAAACTGCAACATTGAGTACGAAATATTGAAGAAAAAATACTTCCCGAATAAATGACGTCATAATTACTAAATAATAATGAGTCAAAACAGAAATACCAAATTATTGATATAAAAAAGTTTTTAAAATAAGATAAGTTTTTTTCCTCTATCTGCATCGAGGTAAAAAGCAGATGATTCACTCAACTCTTTGTTCAAGTTCCGATCACGTATTTTCTGAGCTTTGTTTTTCATTCAATGAGATTGTTTAGTGCTGCCTTTTTTTATCTGGATATTTTTGTGGATAATTATGAATACAGTCAAAAGTCGTTTAATCCGGACTCGTCGGGACTTCCATGATTCTGAATTATCGATTTTTCTGATTTTAGATCACAGTTTAATCTCGAAGATGGCATGCAGAAATCTAAAATTAAAAATATGAAACCGTAAATTTGGAAATAAAGAACAATTATGATCTAAAGGGTATCAAAATTTACAAAAAAAAAGCTCAATATTTATTTGTTTACTTTGTTAAACATTTCTTTCAATGTAAGTTGTTTAAGTTGCTTCGTTTTATGTGATAATACTTTCTCTTTAATTCTATAAACAGACATAATTTCTTGTTCAGTTACAAAGTTCCGCTGTTCAAGTCTCGTAATTGTTCTGCCGAGAATACCGACTAACTTTTCAATCGTAATTTTTTCATTTTCACTAACCTCTCTGTCACCTTCTCCATGTCTTTATCCATTTTTTGCAGCAATTCCACTTTTTGTTTGATGGACATCAAAACATACTTTCGTTTTGTAGATCCTTTGGGAGCTCCAGCATCGGAAATTCTATTTGACATAATCGAAAGTTCAAGTTTACTTTTATAAAATTGCTCTTACAGTCTGCAAAAAATAATAAGCTGGATCCACTTCGAAGATTAAGGAACAACGCAATCATCAACATTAACTGAAATAGATAATTAGATAATTTTAGCTTATACCGTCCGTTATACATTAAACGCGCACGCGAAAACGTATTCTGCATTTGCGCACACGCATATGCGCAGTCGTAAAGGTCTTACGCGCACGCGTAAACGCCTATGCGCATGTGTCAACGTGGCGCATGCGCAGAAAGTTTTTAGCTTTGAGGTCCGGATTATGGGTGTCCGAATTAACGACTTTTGACTGTATTTTTAATTTCAGCCCTTTTTAATACAATGACAGATAAGAAAAGCACTCGTGATTTTACTGCTTGCAACGTTGAAAAACGTAAACACGTTGCATTGACGGTAATGCAAAAAGTGCAAATTCTGCAGAAGATGGAAGCAGATGCTACTCCTCGATTTATAGCAGAATGGTATGGAATTGCGACACGATTGTGTATGATATACAGAAAAATAAAGAAAAGCTGTTGAAATTTTACAGCAACAGTGATTCTAACATCGGAATCCGAAACCGGAAATCTTTGCATGAGGCGAAATCGGCAAACCTCGATGCTGTGTACATATAACACAATGACTAATATATTCAATTTGTATATGTAATAATAAATTTAATGCATATAATAAATTATTGCAATAATGTATATAATAATTTAGTTAAATGTATCTAATACGCCTTATTCATTTTGCACTTTTAGTCCGAATATCATGCTTTATTTTTTCTATCCTGAAATCCGCACAACCTCTGGTCCCAAGCTTTGCGGATTTCCGGAATTGTGCTGTACAATTTTTTTACCTCGTTCAAGTACAACAGCATGAATGACACAAACATTAATGAATGATCAGTTTGAAAAATCATACTTGAGGCTCAGCAACATTTGACATCTATTTATTTACTGGATAATGCAATAATTGTTCCATTTATATAAACAACTGTTTGGATAACACATCACTTAAAAGTTTTAGTAAAAGATAATGTCTCGCCTTGTTCTTTCCTCTAAAATGTACATCCATAATTCAACGAATGGATGGTAGAATGTTGCCTATGCTGAAATGCAGTTATAAAGAAGCTTTTTTAAAATCTATGGTAAATTTTTTGAACAATGAACGAGATGTTTCAAGAAATTTTGAAATATTTTAATATGAAACCAGCTGTGTGGAGTAGTGCAAGGTCATGGGAGGATGTGTCAGCAGATATTTTTAAAAATGCTAGGCATAATTTATGGCCAGGTATCATATTTTCATGGTGATGATGATGATGATAATAGCTGTGAATTTGAAGACTTTTAGATAGCACAAAATAAGAAATATTTCAATTAATAACATTTGTGAAAAAATGTGGAGAAATGCTAAATGAAGATACATACATATAATAGAGATTTTCTTTATTGAAAACAATGCCCCATTCATCACTCATCTAACAGATGACAAAACATATAGTATGATTTTAAATCCAGAAAATATGACAGTGAAAAAAAGAGATAAAGGAATGGTTGAAAATTAAAAGATTTCAAATGACAGTTTAGTGGGAATTTACAACAACAGGACTCAAGTAAAGTATTGTAACTGAACAAGAAATTACACCTATTTATAAAATTAAGAGAGAAAGTATTAGCACCAAAATTGGGGGGGGGGACGAAATGGCCAGCACATGACCAGGTGCCACTTTCCAAGGTATAAATACCAATGAATTTTAAGTGAAATATCACTTCCACTTGATAAAATATAAACTAAAATCTAATGTCGTTCCAATAAATAGAAACATGCATGAAACTGAATAATTTAATCAGTTTTTAATTACAGGAAATCAAATGTTTATAGTGTAATTAAAATGAATGCTTTGAAACAAATATAATTTCTTTCTCAGTTTTTCTATAGCATAGCTGCCAAACTTGAAATCTTAAAAACTGGAAATTTTTGTGAGAAAATCAGAAAGTTTTCATGCTGCATGGTGGTGACAGCATTCCAAAGAAACGTCAAATTGACCCTAACTCACTTTACTACGCATGGTTCTAGTTAAGAACTATTAAAAATTCCATTATGGTGTAAAATCATTGGCATTTAATAATATTGGCATTTAATCAGAAATTTAAAATTTATGTTCTTTGGCTAACTTCCTGACACTTTTACATTGAAAAAATCTTGAGGAGTGAATGAAAGCTTCTATTTATCAAATTACTTTTAAATACAAGGAAAACAAAATTAATGTTTACGGTACATAGTGTTTGTATAAACTTAGTAATGTAGCATATAATCAGATAAACAAAATTTAATATAAATGTTAACTGATTTAAACACAGCGTGAATCATCATAAAAAATCTACAGATGTCTGCAGTATATTAAAACAAATCAAATAAAATAAAATTTAATAAGATCCATACAATATAATAAGGATAAAACACAATTCAGATGAAATAAAATAGAAAAAATTATACCAAAAATCATTATAGGTGGAGAATGAAATTTTCACTAATTCAATTAACCCAGGGGATCAGAAATGCATGCATGATGTCTGGGTAAATACAATCCTTAGTCAGTAATACAATCGTCAACAAAGAGAACACAATGGTTCTAGTCAATATGAAAACTTAATTTATCCCAGAAGTCCAGTCTGTCTAGGTACTGGTCCTAGCCAGAACGACGGGATTGCTCCCAGTCGACCCTTAAGGAGAACTCGTACACAGAGGTGTCATACTAAAAACAGTAAAAATGTATCGTAAGAGACCCCAATTCCCACTTCTGCACAAAAAACACACCATAAAAGAAACATAACTTCTTTACTTATGTACTTACGAGAAACATAAACTTCTTTACTTATGTAAGCAGATTGGCATTAGGTCCTCCTTTTGGGGATATTTTGACTCTTTTAAAGTCATAAATGCTTCATTATTTCATATTTTAATTTTATAATTTCTACATGTCATTTTACTAGATTTAAACTTAAAATCTTAAATCCAGAAATTTCCAAAATCTGAATTTGCCAATTTCAGATCGCAGACTTTTTACTGTACTCTTTCTAAAAATTATAACACAAAACTTGAACAAGATATTTAATATCAGAGTCTGGAATATTTTTAAACTTCACAGTGCAAAGCAATTTTTATCACTTGCCTTGAGGAATAGGTTAAAAATAAATTGATCAAATTCACATTATTATTTTCAACTAATAACCTTAGTCATACAAAAAATTTGCTGCACTAGAAATCTTTTCCAATTTTAGTTTATATGAATAAAGTTATGACTCGACTATATGCAAATACTTATTCAATTATGAATTCTACTAAAGCCTGTGAATAAGTTGCTTTTTCTTCTTCTTCTTTTTTTTTTTTTTTTTTTTTTTTTTTTTTTGCGGAGGGGTATTTACTAAACCTTTTTTTGACAGTTTGCAGAACTGATATTTTATTTTTAGTTATATTCAGAATTAAATATTTTTAATTATGAACAATTCCTTAATTTATTAAATATATTACTTCAGGCTTCAAATACCTTGGTCAATTTTTATCATAGTGGGGTCACACTTTTTATATTTCATTTTCAGAGACAGTACAAACTTTAACTATTAGGACTGGGGAATATATAAAAATGTTAGATTTTTGTAGCTTTTACAAAAATATTTTAAAATTTAGAAATGCCATTATATGAATATTTATATCAATGAAACCATTATCATGAAGCATAAATCAAACATTTTTATACTTGGAAGCATATGTTTACAATCAATGATTGCAAAAAATGAAAGCCATATAAAGTCTTAGGAACATCCTGTATACAATTCAAGAAAATATTCCGCAAACTTTTGTTGGTCTTTACAAATTTTAAATGGTCTCCAGGGAAAGAAAATACAATCTATATGTAAGTCCTCTGTACCTCATGCAATTAATGTAAAAATAAAACACGTAAATACTACTAGTTATGAGTTGAGGTATATGTTCTTCAAGCTTAACACAGAAATTTAAAACACATTCACCTAGAAGAAATAATAAGCAATTTACTATATATGTTACACTTAATTCCATTATTGAAACATTTAAATATAGAAAGGCATACCATCTTGAAAGACTCTTTCAACATTGAGCCCATAAGTAGCACAGGTTTCGTAATAGGAACACCTCTTAAGGTCATTAGCTAATTTTCTAGCCCGTGAGTCATCAATAACACGAGGATTACTTTCACTAATTGCATCTATCAGGAAAAGCAAATCATCTAATATAAGAGCAACATCAAAGTAAGCAATACAAAATACAAAAATTTACCTGCCAAGCTTTTACAATTGTGAAATATTGTCTAAAGTCATCTACATGAATAATAATTACATAAGTTAGAGCAGGCAGTATTTACATCAAACACATTGAAGTAAATACTGCTGGCTGTAACTGATGCAATTAAAAAATTAAACATAAAATTACAATATCCACATTATTGTGCCTATATATATATATTGCTAAATTTACACTGGCACCTAAAATTTGATCTTTTGTATACAAAAGTAAAAAACATTTGTAGTGTAATTCCAAATGCTGGTCTGTGGTCATGGTGAAGGAAAATGCAGGCCACTCAAATGCTCCAATGACACACAGACAGTTTTTTTTTTTAATGCTAATGATGTATACTTTGCTTTGAAGTTTTAAAGAAAAATACCTCAAAAAAGAATTTACACTGTGACAAACCATTATTCATTTAATAATTAAAGGCTTCAAGTATATTATTTATTTAATAAGTAAAATAAAATAAAAGAGAGGGGGGGGAACTTTTTCTAAAAGAAATTTTTTTGTATGACAGCTTTTTTCACGTGTGTGCTTTCCCTTTAAGAAAATTTCTTTTGTATATATTTAAAAGATATACACATATAAATTATACATATTTCAGAAAAAAAAAAGAATGGACCGACATCAACTAAGGTAATGAATTGTGCTTTTAAGAAAATTCTAGCTGCACTTATCTAGGTTGGCTAATAACAACAATATATCCTCACAACCTTCTGCAAGAACAATTAAAAAAAATTCCAAAAATCTTCTGACTTCAGTAAAAACATAGGCCTGTCAATTCTTAGATAGCATAAAATCGTTATTATTTAATAAAATTTAAATATGCAGAAGTACCCCACACGGTACACAAATATAACCATCATAGAATTTTTCACTTGTCTCATGAACTTAAATTCTACGAATCATCCAAATACAAAATCAGAGGTATTCAGAATGAATAAACGTATTTCCTGTTTGAAATCATATGCTTTAAGTTTTACATTCATCAGAAATTCTATTAAAAAAAAAAAATTCCATCGAAACTGGTTTAAAAAAAATAAAAGTACTGGAGAGTATCGATTACATACGACGATATAATTTAATTAACATCGAGATACTAATACATTATTAAATTACGCGGAATCTCAAATAAATATACCTTATGTATAAAAACAGCAGGTACACGGAACAGAATATCGATATCTAAAAATAAATTTCCATTTCGAAAAATTTTTTCAAAATAATTATTTGCAAGGTAGAAGCAAAAAATAAATTGGGATATAATAGATACTTCTTTAAGATTCTTCCGTTCTTAATTGTAAACATAACCGATTAAACTAAGAAGAATCCTAAACATGAAAAATAAGCAAGTAACCGCATCAGAGGTAAACTAAATAAAGAGGCTTACCTTGACGCAGGCCCCTCATCGAAAGATAACGACCATGTCTACCACGGCAAAATAATCGATCGATACAGCGCCCTCTGGCGCCGTCAAACAATCGACAGACAAATTTTGACAGTACGTAACTTATTCCACTTCCGTAATTTATATATTATGAGAATGAAGGCTTTCTCGCGACAAAAATTTATGAAATTGTAAAACACATTACATTCTAATGCTTTTTCAGTATCTCGGATACGTAGCAGTACAGGAATTAAATCCGTATTATAACGAAACTGAAGAATACCGCAATTAAAAAAAAATCGAATATTTACATGGAGTGACGAAATTATATACTCGCCTATTTCTGATGTATTTAATATTAAACTTCGGAAACGCTTTTATGAATTTCAGTTAGTAAATTACGCAAGTACAGAATGAGACACACAAAAAAAGTAAAAAACACATGAATTATATAGAAAACGCAAATACGTATCACCGTATTATTTCTGATGTATTTAATATTAAACTTCGGAAACGCTTTTATGAATTTTAGTTAGCAAATTATGAAAGTACAGAATGAGACACAAAACAAAAAAGTAAAAGACAACATGAATTATATAGAAAACGCAAATACGTATCACCGTATTTACGCATAATGCATGCAAATCGAAATCAAAGTATATATATATATATATATATATATATATATATATATATATATATATATTATGGAAAATTAAACTTTTGACCACGATTAATTACGTGTTTTCAATTCAATACACGATTTTGGGATTAAAATTACTATCTTAACATGTTCACGCATTTCAAAGTCTGCTCGTTAGACAGTACATATATTTTTTTATGTCATCAATAAAATTAATTTCATTAAACAGGAAAACTTCTGCGACAATAGTATGCCTTGTTTTGAGGACGTCAGCATGATTTTTATGCAAAACTCGCGTAATATCCGAGGACGCGGTATATAAAGCTATACGATAGGCCGACGGATTCTTTCACTCTCTACACAAATACAAGTAGTTAATCGTGTATCACAAAATGCAAAGCAGTGAAGATTACTTCTTTATTTAGAGAAATACCTCATTCATCTACAATGCGAATGCTATTACTACTACATACGAGTACACCACTGAAATTAACTACCAAATCGATAATCTAAGACATATAAATGGCACATATGAGTAAGTCCTCTGCTGAAAAGAGTAACCGATAAGAATTACATGCATACGCAGAAAGCCTAACGCATGAAAAATTCTGCGTTTCATTCAGTGAAAAATATACACAAATACATATTTGGCATTTATTTCATTATTAACTATCCATAGTTACCTTGAGTGCCAACAAGGATGAGAGGCACATCGCCCGGGCTTCGATAATGAGACATCTTAGTATAATAGTTATAAATGGCATTAAAGGAAGCTTCGTTTTCTAAGCTGAAAACATAGATAACGGCGTCTACCCAACAACTGAACTGAAAGAGAAACAACATTACAACAATTAAAGTGCGAAAAAAAGTAAATCACAGAAATGCTTCACACTGTGATGCTAACTTATTACTCTCATTTCGCACACACACACAATAAATAAATAAAAATTTAAAAAAATAAAATAAATAAACGATAATAATAATAAAAACTTCATAAATAACATAGTGCGTTTTCTCTTTTCTTACCATTTAAAGTTCTTTCTTTTTTTCCCGTTAGTTCGCGCTCCAAAATCTGCGTTGCCACCCTTGCATCCTTTCTTAAGTGGTTTACTATTAAGGCAAAGAACTCGAGGCTGTGTGCCTAAAGGAAAGGATACCTTCGTGGAGGACTTTCTAAGGTAAACTGGCTCGTATTCACGTTATACAACGTGAGACGTTGTATAACATGTACATGGGAAAAACCACAACAACATCTATGTAGCGAGACCGTCTGCCGGGATTCGAAGATGGGACGATTTACCAGTTTTCAGTTACTTTAACGCCCGGCCGCTGGCGGCATTATGCAAATTCCCTTAACTTTACAAGCAAGTTTATACTTAAAGAGAAACTTCTGAAACTTCAAATTTTAAAAACGTTTGACCAACTTACCAAGAATTTCATAATGAGGGAGGGTAACAACTAATTCAATTACCGGATTACAACGACGATTACAATTAATTATAACGATGGCTATCCTCTAAGCTTTATTGCTATTTTATTAAAGAAATTCCCAACTATAGAATCCAAGAGTCTCGTATCCCATTTCTCATCCTCTCAAAACGACTTTCGAATCGATGGATTTTACGAGCACCATCTCTTTGAAGACCCAGTCACAAAGCTGAATAGCCTTACAAGGTATTCAAAGTCTAGCACTTCATCACGGATTTCCGAAAAACACCCTGCGGCCTTAATACGAAGAAAAGTGCGTTGATGAATTTCGTCGAAATAGTAGATTAATTAAATAAGACAATATGTTTGGTTTGGTTTATTTGATTAGGGAAAAGGACGTGAGGGTTATCTGCCTAAGTGCAAGGTTGCCTTCGTGGAGGACTTTCTAATGGAAATTTTCTCGTATCCACGTTTCACATAAGAAAAACGCCCGTGCAACCAACCGTTCGCCTGGTATCAAATCTAGATCGAACTACCAGTGTTCAGCAACTTTACTCCTTGTGCGATAGCGAGTCAATAACAGAAATACGAGGTCGTCGGAAAAGGCGGCTACCAGGTGTACTTTCTTAAAATATTATTCCTAGACTTCGAACTACAACACTATTTTAAATACGATGCAAAACTACATGAAAATAGTCTAGTTTCTAAGTGGAAATGTAACTTCAACCCAGAACAAAATGTAACTTCTTATATGGTTTCACTAGAGTAAAAATTCCAATTAGTAAAATAACCTTTATCAACGAAAGTCAGTGCAATACAGCATATGAAGAATTTCATAAAAAAACAAGGAAATAACATAAAAATTTAACGGTTAACTTGTTTTACATAGGCTAAAATAGTAATTGCGAAAACCAGCTACTTTTTTTTAATCATTCCATTTTAAATTTCTTCTTAGAAGGTCTTGCATAATAAGTCGGCATTAGGCATACAAAGAACTACTCTAGTATATTCGTTCTCAGATATCTTCGAGAACCTAACAGATAAGGATGGTATGAAACGCCAAGTTTACTGCACTACTCTATAATTTCCAAATAAAAACGCTAAAGGAAAAGTGTTGAAACTATTTTCATAAAATACTAGACTTTTAAAAATTATGAAACTGCACGCCAAAATAGCATTTAACCAATTACTGCTTACTCCAAGGAGCATGACATATGAAGTACTGCATTCAAATTTTCGCGCTCGAGCTATATTTCCCATCTCAAAGTTAAAGAGTGAAGAAAAGTTACGAATAGAGAAAACTTATGCCATAGCCAGTAAAAGTAGCTACTAATATTGTGAAGATTTTATAGCAGCATTATCTTACGTGCCATTTTAATCGCATATTTCTAAACTTAATTAGTGTTAAATTTCTTCAACAAAAATAAATAATTGTACGGTGATTTTCATGAAAATTAAGCAGGCCTTTAAGGTTACAGAAGTGAAACTCACAGCCTACATTCTCTCGAATGTCACAAACAGTAAACACGTAGAGACATTAGGAGGAATTGGAAAAGCCGGACAGATGAAAAATGAGTAATTGTCTTCGTCGGGAATCGAACCATGGACCTCTGGAATACCGGCCCAGCGTGCAGAACCACTACACCACGAAGGCACGCTAAGGAAACGGGAGAAATACCTTATAAACAAGCAAGAATGGTACATGTCCTTATATCGGCCCCAGATCTTTGCAATTACTAATTTTTCAGAATTCAATTTTTTTCAAACATTTGTTTTTATAAAAGCAATAAACGCACTTGCCTACCAATATCAAGAAGCTAACATTTTTACGAAATTAACAACGTTTACAATTAACAATACCTAAGGCCGAAATAAACCGAAATTTCCGGAAACACCTGAAATCCGAAATCACCGGATATTAAAATAATTAACCCTTAACTTCCCACTGTTGCATTTCTGCAACATATGATTTATTTTAATTTAACATACTCAATTTTTTTTAATTACCTACAAATCACTTATCTAAGAAAAAAAGGTTACCGCAACGAAATACATGCTAAATTTGTCACTAGATAGCAGCACATTTTTTTCCAGAAATCACAACAATTATAAAAATCTCTGATGCCTCAAGAACTGTGTTTTTGCTATAAAAAGAATCCATTATATTTTATGTTTCCTCTTGTTTATTGACGAAAACAATTACCAGGTAAGAAGTTTAAACATTTTATGTTCATTTAAAAGAAACTTTGATTTTCTAATAGAAAAAGTTTGAAAGAAATTTGATTTTAATTATATGTTGCATACCTGCAACATATTACCATTTTGACATGGCCAAAAAGCGTATACTAACCCAAGATGAAATTGCTAGATATATGAATAATTTGGGCGAATTGAGTGATTTAAGTGAGGATAGCTCTTCAATATTCTGCTGATGATGTTCATTTTTTACCTGATTGTGAGTCATCTAATGATGATGATTCGGATAGCGACTGTGAAAATAGTGTTGTTTCACAAAATACAATTCAGAATATAAAAAACATCCGATGATGATGATAATAAATTTGATAGAAATATTTCAGTCAGTGTGTGTGTGTGTGATTATGGCAAAGCCTCGAGAGCTATCTGCCTACGGGGAGGGATGCCTTCGTGGAGGATTTTCTAAGGGAAAACTGGCTTTGTATACAAGTTACACATGGGAAAAAACCACGAAAACGAACTACCAGTGTTCAGCGGACTTTACCTGCTCGGCCGCTGGTATATTTCAGTCAGAGAGAACCTTTTTTAAATTTAATTGTTAAGAATAATAAAACATTGTCAAAGAATATTTTATGGAAAAATCAAAACATTTCATTGATTGAAGAAGTAATAAAAATCCATGGAGATGACACGCTCCCAAGAGAAATTACGGATTTGGACACTACATACCAATTTTTTAAATATTTATGGACGGAAGAGATCATAAGTATCATTTATGACGACAGCAAACGATATGCTATTCAAAAGAATTCAAGTAAGTTTCTGACTATATCAGAGAATGAAATAAATCAATATTTGGGTATTTGCATTTATGCATCTCTAGTTCACCTGCCAAACTATAGAGCATACTGGTCAGAAGAGCTGGATTTGGATTGATCGAAATTAAAGAAACAATGCCTCTTAAAGAAATCTGAAAATAAAAAAAAAATCTAATGAATTTACAAAAATTCAAATCTGAAGTTGCAAATCATGCTTATGCAAAATGGGGTACGATCGAATCGAAATGCCTAAAAGAGGAAGACCTAGTAATACTTCAATAGAACAAATGTCCCAGACTAAAAGATGCAAAGGGACTGCCCAATCCGTTCCATGTAAGGACATTCGTAGAGATGGTATAAATCATTGGCCAATATGGTCAGAAAAAGAATACGGTGCAAGTTTCCAAACTGCAAGAGCTACACTCACACTGAGTGCGAAAAGTGTAAAGTAGGGAACTTTTTACAACAAAGTCAATACTGCTTTAAAAATTTTCATTGTATGTAAGGCTAAAGCAATTTATAACAATGAATAATAAAATCCTCATATAAAAAAAAGTTTTAAAAGTTTTTAAAAAAAGGTTTGTAATTTTACAGCACTACTGCGCAATGTTGCACTTCTGCAACAAACAAAAAAATGACTGAAACTCAATTTAAAACTGCTTAATTTTTTTAAAAAAATATTTTTCCCTTTTATTATTACTTAAGAAGTAGCTGATATAATTTTTTCATAGAAATTTAAAAAATTGGGAAGTTAAGGGTTAAACCTTTTTAGTAATATTCTTACAATAATGCCCATGAGCTCTATCGGCCTCGAGAATGCTGTCGTCGTGGAGGATTTTTCTGCAACTGGCTCACATTTACCTACGGCGGGGAAATTTGAAAACATTCAGTGGTATACAACAGAGGTGGCCAACTTATATACGCGATACAAACAATATATACGCGAGAAAAATTTTCATTTTCTCGCCTGTTTGTCCCGCGACAGAGTTGATATAAGATTTAAAGGAGGATTTGCGGGCAGCTGTTGTTGCCAAGTGAAAGTTTAAGGGAAAATATTTAATTTCCGATATTGAAAGTTTCGGCATGTCTTCCAGACATCACTTAGAAGATGATCTTACGCGTGGCCGTCTCATAGAAAAGGGGCGAAAAATAACACATGTTTCAAGGGATTCATCATCCCCAACAGCATTGTTTCACGACAGTAGAAAGCATTTAAAACAACTGGAAACACTGGATAGAGGAAGTCTAGCCTCTGGTTTCCAGGTAGAGTTTGAAGGATATCTGCTCTCAGAAAAGCCGCGAGATGGCAAGCCTTAGCTTCGGAATCCCAATCATTTGCCACTACAGACAACTGAGTCACTTGCCAGGAGGTCTTTTCAACA